AGTAGCTGTCCAGACCTCCCCCCTGGGCCCTACCACACTTCAAGATGACAAGCACCTTCCTAGTGATCACCATACAGAAAAATTCCTGTTCAATATGTCTTTTGATTGCAGTGAACATCCTGTGAGGTGGTGCCTCATGGCAAGTCAGGGACATGTGCTTTGCATATTAGATCTGTCTTAATATAGCAGTGAGGGCCCTTCATTTCTGTGGGGAAAAGCAAAGGAAATGCAACTGAAGGCACAGTTATGACCCCAATATTGTTTCTCTCAACAATATCTACCAAGAATAGCCCCTTTACTTTTCCCCATAGAGGATAATGGAAGTTATTTGTTTCCATGACCCATCCCTAACTTATCTTGCAGGGCTCTAGTAAGTATTAAAGAACATGTGTGAAGTATTTTGAACACCCAAAATTCACAATGTGTGTGTATACACGCATACATACACTCTTGTCTGGCAATTTGTAGTCCTAAATATATCCACTAAATTATAGCACAATTTATCTACAAAGGAAACCTAGTCACCCACAGGAACCCACAAAATCTTCTCTCCCTTCCCTGGCTTCCTCCTCTGTAACACAGGAAAAATATTAAACTGTTTTGGAAAGCATGGATGATGTCCTGTATATGTTATCAGTTTTATTTTAAACAATATTCAGGAGAAAAAAACCACCATTATGGACTTGTAAGCTACTCAGGAAAGGGACCTGCTTTTTGCTCATGCTATGCTGCAAAGCACCATATAAATTCAGCTACTATATGAATCAATTTATGGAGAACAGAAATGCCAGCACCTAGTAGCTAAGATGTTCAGATAACAAGATTTCATGTGCTGTGCTGCCTGGCCTACCACAGTATTAGGTACAGGGTAAAAGGTAAAGGTTTCTCTTGCTTGAAAACCAGACGCATCCGACTCTCCTAATTTCCTCAGAAGTAAGTATCACTTAGTTCAATGGGATTTATTCACAAGGGGGCATAGGAAGAGGAAGAGCCGAGCCGTAGCCAAAAAGCCGAAGAACAGCGAGTCCCACCATTGGGTGCTGGTAGGGCAGTCCCCACCCCTGACGATGTGGCCATAGATAGGGGTAAAATGAAATTGTGTAAGCTGCTCAGAGACCCCTCGGGGTTCGAGCGGGATACAAGTTGAAAGCATAAATAAATAAATAAATTGCAGCCTCAAAATATTATTTTTATCTGTTTATCATGTATCAAATAATAGCTGTGGATGGCCCCACCAGGCACTTGAAAAAATTACCATAATCCAGAATTAGGGCAGATGTTTCTGCAAACCTGGAGGAGCCTGCAGGTTTGCACAAAGATCTTATAGTTTATAGTTTAAATATGCCAAGATCACACAAGACTGCCTTGCAAGACCTTGGCTAGCATTTTTGGCTACCTAGGTAATCCAAAATGGCAGCTGAGATTGCACAAGATGATTTCACAAGGTTTCTGCCATTATATATTCCATGTTGCTACTGAAAGAGGGGAGTGTAAGGGAGGAGTGGGTAGTGGAGAGATTAGAGAAAGTCGGTGGGACAGAAGGAGAACAGGGACTGGCAAGGGTAATGTATTGGAAATTAGGAACTGGAAAAAGTGGCAATGGGGAAGCAGAAATGAAGGAGAGAGCATGAAAAAAAGGTACGGAAATGGGAAGTAGAATGGGAATGGAGTAATAAAAATAGTGCAAAAGAGGGAAAGGGATCAAGGAGGAAGGAAATTCTCCTCCCTCAGAACTCATGAGCCTCCCAGCCCTGACCTGGATAGCCCTGGCAGGCCCAATCTTGTCAGTTCTCGGAAGCTAAGCAGGGTGGACCCTGGCAAGTACTTGGAAGGGAGACTTCCAAGGAATACCAGGACTGGGATACAGAGCCAGACAATAGTAAGCCACCTGAGCCCCACTAGGGGTTGCCAGAAGTCAACCATGACATCCAGGCATACACACATACACACACAAAAAGAACTTATGAGCCCCTCATTTGTCCTATATCTATAGTGAGGAGTGATTCCACTGTGTGGAACAAAGGATGTGCACAATGGGCCACCTAAGGCTTGAGTATATGATACTGCAAACCAAAAGGAAACTCAGATTTGCAGACAAGTATGAAAAGAAACAAAAATTAAAGAGGGTTTTTAAAAATTCAAAAAGGTAGCAAGCAATGTCTGAGCATACACAGACCTTTTAGGGGAGAAATTATTATGGGCAGCATTTTGGGTTGCTGTAGCAGCTCAAAATGACACTTGGGGTCAAACTAGAAGATACATTTACCCACATGTTATCTAGTCTGGGTAAATGTATTATCAGTTTGGTCCTAAATCAGTGGTGCCAAAAGGAAACAACTACTGGAACAGCAAGCTAGGGATGAGGAAATGGGGTACGTAGTAGTGTAGAAAAAGAAAGGAAGGAAATGGATGCTGATTCAGTGGGACAGAGAGATAGGAAAGGGGCCAAACAGCAGCTAAGAGACAGGTGTGGCAGGGAAGGACGAAAACAAAGACAGCAGAATGCAAATGGATAAACTGAACAAGCAGTAATAGGCACAAAACAGTGGAAAAGAGAGAAGCGGGGGGGGGGGGAGAGATAGGGATTCCCCTCCCCTCCAAGATCTGACCTGTTATTCATAATACTGAACATTCGATAACACTAAACAGCACATTGAACCCAAACCTTAATGCCTAGTGCTGCCTTGAATTCAGGAAGATAAAGCAGGAAAGTAATGTTATGAACAACTATATAAATAAATAGTGTATGGAAAGTGGGGTACTTGATCGTTTAAGAGTAGTTCAGTGCTGCAGGGCTTTATGCAACCTGACAGCAGGGCTGATAGGTACAGTTTAGGCATGCCATCCCTAAGACCAATATAGCTTTACCTCAAGGGAAATGTACACGAATGCCAGAACACAGTTAATAATGCCATCAAGTAATGCAGTGTAAGAATCACACCATTTCAAGGACAAAAATGTAAAAAGAATATTGTATCATTGTATCACACCAATGGGCTTGAGAACCTAGGACTGCATAATAAAATGAGATTTTAGTGGTCTTATCCAGAAAGGACAATGCATAACTAGGATTTCTTCAGAATTTGCTATGTCTTGAGATCTTGGGTGACAAAAGTAGCTTTTATCAGCTAAAGAACTTCAGTCTTTCTTCATGCGGAATTTTATTTCCATTTTTAAAATCATCTTTATGCTTTCATCCTGTATATTTTTCTCCACAGCTTCTAGTGCCTGTTCTCCACCATCCTGGTAATATTTCAGCAGCTCTTCTGTATATGCAATCCATACACAGTTGTGGCATCCACTCATGCAACAGTTAGTGGGAGGAAGCAATGTTGGGGGTACAGCAAAAAGAGGTTCTTCGTCCTTTGAAGACCCTGCTACCTCCTCAGAGTTAGACTCCTTATCATTTGGGGAGGCAGCATTTTGAGAATCATTTCCACGGGCATGTATATGACGTTTTTCACACTCTGCCAGTATTGCAGGGAGTCTCCACATATTAACCACACACGTATGATGGGATCTGTGAAGGAGCCAGGGCCCTGAGACACTGCAATCCTGGAGGTGCCTGAACAGATATACACACTCCTAACAAGAATCAAAGGATAGAATTAAATTCCAATACTGCTAACATTGTTCTATATCCCCCCCCCCTGTTTACATTAAATCCGACCCATTCTCCACAGTTAGCCCAGGATTTGGCTTGTCATATGGGTCCTGGAAGAAAAGGAAAAATTAGACACTACAGGGCACTTTCAGTACTAATCTAACAAACCAGTAATGACAAATTCAAACATCCCACTCCAAATTACAAGTGTTTCAAAAATCACATCAAACTTTTTTTTGGTCTTTATATATACCATGACTGGCTATGATCACTCTTACATATGAATAAGGTAACGATCAGGATTTCACCAATGACTCAATTAACGGATTTTGATTCTAAAAAGTCTGGAAGCCCACAGGTATTAAAATGGTCTACATCACATAGAATTCCAGTTCTGAATGTTCCTTCACATAAAATGCTCCATCCAAACAGAAAACTAGGAGCACAGGGATAAATATTTTAACCTATGAACTTGCTGGGCTAGCTTTGTATTTGTAGGCTGCTTTATGAAACACAGGAAAGTGGAAAATTATACAAAAATAAATCTAAAAACGCCAGCCATGTCATCATTTAGTAGGACCAGCCAAGAGGTCACAAAGTAGCGAGGGCAAGCTTTTAAGTTCTCAGGAACTTTTCATCAAGCTGAATGTTAAGCGAAGGGGAGGTGGGAGGGGAGAGAATGCTTAAGGCAATGGAAAAGCTCAAAGTCTTTCTATGGTTTAACTCGCTGGAGATCAAAACTGTTGCAATATTAATGGAGCCAGTAGTAACAAGAGCAAATCAGACATCAAACAGAACATCGCGGAGCGCCCCAAAACCTGACCCTCCACAGTCCATTATACTATCGTGCTCCTCTGTGCGTGTGAACCAGCTAATTCCTTCCAAGTAAACACTCCTGCCATCAGGCTCCAAAAACTCAAGCCTTCCGTTAACTTCCATTCGACCGCTGGCGCGGGACCTGAACTCCCTTTCCTACAACGCCCTTCATCTCACCTTTCCATGTCCGCCAACCACAGGGCCCAGCAACCCTCGACTGGACCGGACAGCGCTTAATAACAACATAGTCGAGGCAGAAGACCCTTGACAACCACCACACACTACTCCCTCATGCCGGAATTGACATTTCTTTCGTCCAATAGGCGCAGCAGCTCCGGCCGTAATCATACGTAACTGGCCCGCCCTCAGCCAAAGTAAGCGATCAAGCAAGTTACAATCATACGTAACTGGCCAGGCCTCAGCAAGTAAGCCAATGCAGAGAGGCTCTGGCTGGGTCTTTGACGAGACGTCCAATGGAGAGCAAAGCAAAGCCGTGGTGTAGGCGGGGACAAAGGCGCGTGAACCAATGGAAGTCGGACTCCAAGGTAGTCGGAGTAGGGCAACCACACGTGGATAGTTCCCGGCCAAGGAAGCAAAATGGGGAAGCAAAAGAAGGCTCGTTCCGTGACTGAGAGTACTATTGCCTCCTCCTCGCGGCGGGAAATGATGCGTAGTAATAGGTCAGTATTGTCAACGTTACTTAACGTGTTCAGAGAACTTCGCAAACATTTCTGTATTATCGTGAAATTAGCCTACTTTGCAGGGTTGTTATAAGAGTGATCCTTACCTTGTTAAATAGACTACTGTTACGGCCATCCTTGTACTACAGATGCGGGGTTGAGGATAGTGGTTTGACTATGCCCACCGACTGCATTTAAGGTGTATTCTGGTATGTGTAGATTTCCCCTGGTACCGCTTGGCTTGCAAATTGCATTCTGAGCTACTGGCATGTACCTTCCATCTCTTTTCTTACTAAAAAGTTGGGGGCACCCAATGAAAGTGAGGGACTGGAGATTCAGACGAGCACTTTTTCACAGTGCAAAATTAATTCATGAGAATTCACGTTATGCTGTGGTGGTTACAGATGACTTTGTAGGAAGAATAGTTAGATTCCTGGAGTGGGTTATTAGGCATTATGGCTAAACAGAACTTCTAGGATTAAAAACAGTATGCTTCTGAGTATTAGTTTCTGGGAGTCAGCACTGGTTAGAGGAAGGAGTTTGCATCTGGGCTTTGCTTTTAAGTGTTGACCCTATGGGATCCTGGACTATATGGACCACCGGTCCGATTCAGCCGTGTTGCTCTTATATTCTTAGGCAATGTCTAGCTTTTACTGCCTGCAGTATTGTCCCATCCCTTTGAACTTGCTACGGTAAGATTTGGGAGTCTTTATTAGAGTATACATAATGTGCCTTTGGTCAATTTATACCCTGCCCTCCCCACCAGGGCAGTCTCAGGGCAGCTTACATTAAAATCCATATATAAATACAATTAAAACCATTCATAACAAAAACCATAAACAATTCATTTATCAATTATCCTAAAGTGGTGGAATGGTGATCTAATAAAGTGTGAGAACAGAAGGTTTCAAGCTGACAATGCTACTTAAGGTGACAGTATCAGTCATGATGGTATTCTCCAGCTCAGTTTGATCAACTTATTTGAGCAGCGAACCCAGGCTGTAGGTTGGTAAGGCCAGGGCACAGGGTCACTCCTCGGGTGTTTGATATGGCTCCTAATCAAAGGCCTGGTGGAGGGGTTCCATCTTGCAGGTCCTGTGGAACTGTAAAAGGTCCCACAGGGCCCTGATCTCTTCCGGGAGCTCGTTCCACCAGTATGGAGCTGCTACTGAGAAGGCCCTGGCCCTGGTTATAGCCAGCCTGGCGTCTTTGGGGCCCCTGAACGCAGTGCTGTCTGGGGAACTTGGGGAAAGGCAGTCCCTTAGGTGTGCTGGACCCTGACCGTAAAGGGCTTTAAAGGTCAAAAACAGCACCTTGAAGCGAATTCGGTATGCTATTGGCAGCTAGTGCAATACTTTCAGCACAGGCTGGATGTGCTCCCGCATAGAGGGACCCATCAACAGCCTGGCCGCAGCATTTTGCATTAGCTGCAGCTTCCAGATTTGGGACAAGGGCAGTCCCATGTAGAGAGTATTAGTAGTCTAATCTCGAGGTGACCATCACAAGGATCACTGTTGCCAAGTTGTTGCATTCAAGGAAGGGAATCAACTGCCTAATCAGCCGAAGATGATAGAAGGCTGACTTGGCAGTGGCTGCTACCTGGGCCTCCATCCAAGAGCACTCCCAGACTCCTAACCTCCAGCACTGGCACCAACTGCGCCCCATCGAAGGTCGGGAGTGGGATCCCTGCCCTTGGACCACCCTGGATCAGACACGGGACTTCTGTCTTTGTCGGATTCAATTTCAGTCGACTCGGTCTAAGCCAACCAGCCACAGCTTGTGACACCCGGTCCAGATCTTCCAGTGTAGAGTCAGACTGGCCGCCCAACAACAGATAGAGCTGGGTGTCATCTGCATATTGGTGACACCCTAGTCCATGTCTCCGGGCAGTCTGGGCAAGGGGGTGCATATAGATGTTAAATAACATCAGGGAAAGCACCACCCCTTGAGGCACTCCACAAATCAGTGGATGCCTTCAGGACAGCAGTTTCCCTAGTGCCACCCTTTGTCCCCAACCCTGAAGGAAGGATGCGAGCCATTGCAAGGCAAGCCCCTGAACTCCAGCATTAGTGAGGCGGTGAATCAGTAGCTGATGGTCAACTGTGTCGAACACTGCCGACAGGTCCAACAACAACAGCACTGCCGATCCGCCTTGATCCAGGTGCTGCCACTGTCTCTCTAGCCATCTTAGCCTTCATCAGCCACAACTCTTGGGTGTACCAAAGTGCGCGTTTAGAGTGGGGGCTCAGAGAGCGTCAGGGAGCGATCTCGTTGATGGCTGCAGAGAGTCGGCTGTGCCAATCCTCTACAAGCTCATCTAATGAGCTGCCAGGGGGCACTGGATCCCGCAGGGCCATCTGAAACCACATTGGGTCCATTTGGCTCTGTGAGCAGGTCGGGGTGAAACATTCACAAAGGGCCCTCAGGGTAAGGTGGTCCGACCAATGCACTGCCGTGGCAGTGATCCAGTCCACTGTAATGCCTGCAGCAAAGATCAAATCAAGCATGGGTCCAGCCCGGTAGGTGGGAGTCATTACATATATCCTGTCACAAGTTGTGACCCTCCCTTCTCCAGTCAGGTAGAAATTCAGTGCTTGCAGTTTTCTCCATTATTGCACCTTGATGGTCATAAACTCTTCACCTTCTGAATTTTTGTTTGTCATGCAGCTTCTGAGTGTTCAGGAACTGTGCCAAGAAACATATTTTGTATCGGCAAGCTTACCTGCAGTGAACCATGTGTGATGTTAACAGCACTGGAAAACATAACATTTAGTTCATCCCTGCTTCCCATGCAAATAGTAGTGTGCAAGCTTCCCTTGTAGTGTGCAAGCTCTGTTCCTATCACTGCAGCTGGTCTTTTGCATAGTGTGGGTTCAGGACATGCTTATAATATCTTTCCAGTAAAGATATTAGGAGATAATTTTGTAGAGCCTTTGCGAAGATTTCTGTCTGTCTGCCTTTCTTTATTAGCCAGAAGAAGAAGAAAATAAACTCAAAACCAAAATGTCTTAATGAGCAAGAAATTCCCTATCGGCTGAGGGAGATCATGAAGAGCCGTGAGGACTTAAAGAACCCCACAAGCAGGAAGAAAAAGAAAGCAGGTATGAGACAGTCTTTGGTCATGTTTTCTGGTATATGTTATCCATTACCCCTTTAACTTAATTGCATGTATGCATGTAGATGTACATCTTTTACATTAGTTGTCTAAATACCAGTTGTGTGTTTTGGAAGGAGTAGGACTGACCTGTATCTTTGCCAGGATGATTTCATGTGTGTTGGTATTTCCAGTAATCACATTTGTATGTTTGACTACATTCTTGCAAGATGGTGTACTGATCATAGTGCCATCCTAGTAGGCAGAGTTACACACTTTCAAGGCCATTGACTTCAGTGGACTTAGAAGGCTGTAACTCTTCTTAGGATGTCATAGTCATTCTGTTAAAATTACACTTGGAACATAGATTAGTCAAGAGGTAGCAGCATAGAGTGCATTTTGCTGGTATGAAACTTTGGTGCAAATCTATTCACCAATACAAGCAAGTTTTAGTCACTGTCATTTATGGCAGGGGTTACTTTTTGCTCTCAGTAGCTGTGTAATAAGCATGCACAGTACAAATAAACTTTTGATTGCAGTCTCTAGCCCCCCTCAGCTACAAAGAGGTTCACAATAGTTCTGAGGAAGTCATGGATAGACGTGGTGTGAGTTGTAACACTCCTCTGTGTATCTTGGGTCACAGAAACTGGTTGGATGTTTTTCTCCAACTTGGCTTGCTGTTCAGTGAGAGCTGTGCTTACATGATTAGGAATAAATGTCTTTGCAGAGAGCCAGCTTGAGGACTGTGAAGGATCAGAGGATAGTCAGTCTCCTCTCTGAATGTTGATGAGGACAATGTAATTATCGTGTTGCATGCTTTGTCTCAGGAAGCAACCAGAGGCCTAGCTCAGAGGGCGACATACCTGTGCCAAGATTCAGGAGGCGCAAAGGGGAATCAGAATCTTCCTACATGAGGCGTATGGACCAGGAAACTCAGCGTGTCCTGTTCCTCACCCAAAACCAGCTGCAACGTGAGCCTGAGAAAGAAGAGCCAGTCCAAGAAAAGTCTCAGAAGAAAAAAGAGTAAGTTTGTATTTTTCTTAATTCACAGCAGTGGACTTAGAGAATGCTACGGTAAGAGCCTTATGCTTGAGCCCAAAGTTTTGTTTGAAGAGTGCCTTTGACCCAAGCTGTCTTAACACATGATGTATATACACATTCTGTTAAATTTTGTTTTATGTTTGTTTTGTGATTAATAGTCCTCTGATGAAGACTTTGTTGAAGGATTTTTGATCCTCTGTTCTATTCTAACCAGGGGTCTTGTCGTAGAAAAAGAGCTGCCGGAGCTCATTAGCATAACTCATTAGCATAACTCATTAGCATAACTTATTTGCATATGCCACGCCCCTTGACATCACCGGAAGTGACAGAAGGCCACACCCCCTGACATCACCGGAAGTGTGTCAGAAGGCCACGCCCACCACTCAGGCTCCACCCCAAAATTCTCCAAGGTATTCCCAACTCAGAGCTAGGGAGCCTATCTGATGGCACACACAAGCAAACCACCCATGTCAGATAAAGAGGGAGGATACCAGGATACCAGGTCAATACATTTTTATTCTCCTTGGCATTGGTCCGCCAGCAGGACCAAAACTCCAGGAGCCCTCCCACTGTTGCCCCCCCCAAGCACCAAGAATGCATAGCATCACTGCCCCAGACATAAGAACATAAGAGAAGCCATGTTGGATCCGGCCAGTGGCCCATCCAGTCCAACACTCTGTGTCACACAGTGACCAAGAATACCAGGTGCCATCAGGAGGTCCACTAGGAGCCCCCCAAGCACCGAGAATACAGAGCATCACTTGCCCCAGACAGAAGAACATAAGAGAAACCAATGTTGGATCAGGCCAGTGGCCCAACTAGTACAACACTCTGTGTCACACAGTGGCGAAAAATACCAGGGGGCATCAGAAGGTCCAGCAGAGGGGCCAGGACACTAGAAGCCCTTCCACTGTTGCCTCCCGAAGCACCAACAATACACTGCATCACTTACCCCAAACGTAAGAGAAGCCAGTGTTGGACCAGGCCAATGGCCCATCCAGTCCAACACTCCGTCACACATCAGCCAAAAATACTAGGTGCCCCCAGGAGGTCCGGCAGTGGGACCAAAACACCAGAAGCCCTCCCACTGGATCCCTCGCTAGCCCGAGGTGGGAGAGATTTTGGGGGTTGGGGGAGGTGGGCCCTCCTTCCGGCGGGAGAAGGATCGACGAGGTGGGGGAGGGGAAGGGGGGAATTGGGAGGGGGAGGGAAGGGGCCTTGAGGGAAGGGGCCTTCAGGGCGAGTGAGGCTGCTAGCAGCCTCGCTCGCCCAGGACGGGAGGGGGGGGAATGGGGAAGGGCGGGAAGGGGCCTTCAGGGCAAGCGACGCTGCTGTAGCAGCCTCGCTCGCCCGGGACGGGAGGGGGGGGGATGGGGAAGGGCAGGAAGGGGCCTTCAGGGCAAGCGACGC